TTTGATAACTATCTGGACATTATAAAGATTTCACATGTGAAATTTGAAAATTTTCTGATGCACAAAAATATTTTTAATCTTAAAATGAAAAGTACTTTGGATGATAGATAGGAAACATGCGAAAAAAAAAAAAAAAGGCACGAGAAAAACTTGCTTTACAAACATTAAGACTTAATAAAAATATTTCATATTTTGCATATGAAAGCATTGTAAGGTTTACTGATAATCTGCCAAATTTTGTTAACCTTTGCTTATTAATTTAAAACTTGTAGCATGAAAAATATAAGAAGCACAAAATGGTTATGAGGTAAGTCCCAGGGACTGAGCCCATGCTGAAAGAGTTAAGTTACAATAATGATTTCTTTACCATCAACTTTGCTTCCCGAGATAGAAAAATTTAGCACCAAGCACAATATATCAAGTTGGTCTTCTGGTAAATGGTGGTCAGATAAACTAACAACAGGATCAGGCAAGATTAGGGTAATAAATCCTAGCATTATATCACTTTGTATAAGGAAGTTCAGTTTAACTTAAAACTTGAATATTTTTGGATATACAGAGTATAATATTTATGGTTACAACAGTTCACCTGGTTTCACCAAAAATAAACAAGTTTAAAGTTTGACATAACAGGGTACTTCTTTTGATTATCTAGTTCAGTTTGTTTTCAAGTTTCTTCTTTTCCAGTTTGAATTCAGTAGTATCTTTAGATTTATTTTTGTTCTGAGTAACTTGGATTAATATTTTAATTTTAGTTATAAGATTTATGTAACTCATTGCAGAACCCACATTCTTCCATCATTGCAACACAAGAGAATCCATAAAAGTATTTAAAAATAGAGAAAACATGCTTAATAATAAAATATGATTTGAACTCTACTGGGACCATTTTAAGCCTGAAAGTAGAAAATGCTAAAAACAGTCTTACTATGTCCCTTGAAAATAAGCATGGCCTGTTGAAATTATTTTTTTAAGTTCTTTACTGTTTTTTATGAATTTACACAAAGTTCTTCCTTGAATAGTTGGTGCCATAAGCTTGCTTCTAACACACTTTCATCATACATATAACTTATAAAACTACTAACACATATATCAAGATAAGTGTAACATGCTTCAATTATGTCCAATGAAGAGATCACCTAGCTATGCTTATCTCTTAAGAATAAACTTCAAGACTGATTTTTTCTCAAAACCTATTGTGAAAAGATTCCAAGTCTCATCAACCTAAAGTGCAATGCAAATGTTCCAAGAATTATTAAAGTCTTTGATAAAATTAAACTTAGAATTTTAGCCAAAGTAATCCAGAATAAAAGAATATTTATTTCATTATTGGTATGAAAGTGATTATTAAATGTCTTGAGTTTTATACATTTTTCTTCTTGGCCCCAAACTGTTCTTAAGTAGATTAAATATTAACCATGTCAATCATAGTTGAGTAGTACAGGCCATTATTTATTTCTTTTTCAGTAAATTCAAAAGGAATCCAAATAACGCTTAAAGGAAAAATAACAACAACACAATCATGGATACAGGTCTATCCCACCTTGTATTCTGAGTATATACCCAAAATTACAGTTATACTAACAGTAATTCTCAGGTATCACCCTGTCAATACTTTTCTTTTTAATGCTACTACCTAGGAAATTATATGGTTTGTATAAGAAAATGTGCACTTTGTATAGCTTTTTCAATTTGAAAATTAACAGCTCATACAACATATTCCTGTACTGATGTAGAATGGAAAGTTCCAATACTCTCTTGAAAGTACTCAACATTTCACTAAATTTTGCAGTAAATTTATAGGAGTTTACAGAGAAGTTTCAATATATATGTAAATGATTAGAGCCAGAATTAATTTGTACTTTTGGATAGGACAGCCTTGATGGACTAACTGGCTCCTTACTGTCCCTTAGATACGTTAAACTAAAACTGCAGTGTAAATGTACATTCAAACGTTTTTCTTTAAAAACTTTTCACATTGAAAACCAGAAAACTAAATATGACAAAAGATACAAAAATTAAATAATACACAAACACTATAAAACAATCTAATTTTCTCTTAAAAATAAACATGCATCTATATATTACTATTAGTATTAGAGATCACAAATACTTATTTTCCAGATAGAACTTGTAGTTTAAAGTTACTATTTGTTGGTTAAAATGATTTTGCTATGACTTAGGAGTAGTTAAATGTTTATGTGATAATAGATTTTGCTATACAATGCCCAAAGAATCTACATTATCGATCCACCATATGTACTATACTCTATAGCAAGAATGATCACAACTCATTAATTTATAATTTTATCATCAACTTGATCAAGTAAAATATTACACAACTATACATATAACTAAACTTGAAGTTTGAATTAATAGTCGTACTAATATTAAGACACAGAATATTTTTTGAAAATTTATAATTTACTTTTATTACATACTTTAACATAACTTCAGCCTTTTAAGTTTTAGGCCTATTCTTAAGGTTACGTATGCATGGCGCTGACGCACTGAAGTTGTGGCACGTTTGATTCTTACCTTAGGCCTAACTTAACGAGATTACGTTTTACCAATTCCATACTACAAATAAACAGTAAGAAGTTTCTATTAAAATCAATTAAATCATTATTACTATTCCATAAAAAAATTTGAGAGTTAACTAAATTTATATTTCTTATTCAAATAAACTAAATATAGTGTAAAATTTGTTAAAACTTCGGAACTACTACACAATACCTGAAGACGCCATTTTGTCATTCACATACCCGGAAATACCCATAACGGATTTTTGTTGAATTACATAAAAGGCAATGGTCGAACTAAAACATAAATATAGTATTAATTAATGAAACTTGTTAACGTTAATTTAATGAAAAATTGTTTTTAAAATTATTTCTCTTAGCGTGAAACAGTTACACCGCTAAAAGCATTTTCTAAATTATTCTTACAAAAATAATGGTTTGAAATTGAAGTTGTAATAGGTTAGACATATATATTGTTGAAAAAATTAATGATGAGGAGAATGTTTTTTTTGTTCGTTTTATAAATTATTAGCATCAAACAAATAAATATCTCGACGTTTCAAACAAATTTTGGTCATTATAAAATATATGTGGCTTGTTTTTGTTCACATACCTAAAATGTAAGGATAAAAATGGACCTGTTGATCCAACTACGCCGCCCCTTCCATTAAACTAAACTTTAGAGTAAAAATAAAAAAATCAAAGTCAACCCCTATCAGTTAGGTATTTATCAATCCTTCATTTAAACTCCCTTAGTTAACTGCCTGCACCACATGTGAAGGGAACCTATTCCAAATGGCAAATACTTTGTTAGAAAAATATAGCAATCTTAGCTGAAGAGAACTCCTATCCAGCCAAAATTTATATTTGTGCTTTCTAGTCCTACCATTTTCACCATTATTGATGTTAAAAAACACGTAGGTTCAAGAAGTCTCGCTAGAAATGAATAAAAACTCTATAGCCCGAGCGCTTCGAAGTCGACCTTCTTCTTCTAGGTCAACTAGAAATTACCTAGTTTGTACCCGTACGTAAAACGAAACGGTACCGTAACTTTACGTAAACG